AGAAATGGAAATATATTTATAGAAATAGCCACTCAGAACTTCTCAAGGAAGGCAGCCAGGTTATTGCCAATATCTGGATTCCTAAGCCTAGACCACACATTTTGCTCTTTGCAAGTGGCAATGAAAAACCCTGACAGAGAGGAAACTTCTGGGCATCCATCCATCCCACAGGCAGTGGCCGGGATGGAGGATGCAGGACAACCTCTCCAAGAATCACTGCTGCTGAAGCAGGAAAAGAAGCAGCAGTGATTCTGACTTGGAGACATTTATGATACATTGAAAGGAGAGGAAATCCCTTCAAAGACCAACTTTTGCAGCCCTTTTTTACAGTGGGTTACTTCATTTCAAGATTGTGGCACATATTCAAGCAATTATATAAGATCCAGATTACTTGCAAAATACCACTACTAAAGAAGTTAGAAATTTAAAATAGAACAAGAAAAACAGAAGAAATTATACTGTGCAAACAAGTGTGCAGTCATACTTTGTCAGTAATGCATATATGCAAAACTCTTCAGGTGCAGAAATCTTCTTTTTCAAAACCATGCTAAAATGGAAAGCTCTCTGGTGATTCAGAGTTTTCACTTTTGATCTGATGTTTGTGCCATGCAGAAAGAGAGCCCAGCATTTCTCTGTCACCCTTAAGTACCTTAGCTAAATCCCAGCTGGGTGCAGCACAACTCAGACCCGTAACCATATTTATCAGTACTCATGAGATCAGATGTCTCTAACCTGTAACTATAATTTCCCCTGACCATAGGCTCTAATCATCACTATGAAATTTGGAACATAGCTAAATAGTTTTAATCCTTATAACATTAGTAAATCTCTGATATACACCCTGGAAACCATTCCAGCAACTTGTGTTTTATGTCATTTTCTCAGGATCCAAAAATAAATAAAAATATGAGGAAAGCAGAAAGTAAAAACAGAAAAAAAAATTGCAGGATGTTGCTGCCACTGATGTCTCTGGCAACTGGCAGAACTCCCATGCATTTTAATGGGAGTAAGATTTTCAATTTTTAGTACTTGTGCCCTACATATCTTTCGCCTTCAGCTCTTCTCAACAGCATTGACTACATGATGTTCTGAAAAATGAACCTCCAAAATGCAGTTTTGGCCTGTTGGAAAGGTTTATTCTTTTTTTTTTTTAACTTATGCTCAAATTTCAAACATGGGCATAAGGATTATATTTTTATTTTACTACATAAGGGGAGTGAACAAGTCTTGATGCTGACAGAACACTTTATGTGATATTTAGCAACAAAGAAGGAAACTCTGTCAACCCAGAATTCACAGGAGCACCAGTTGGCTAAATTCATGGCACGGTGTGGGAAAATTACCTCAACACTGTCTACTTTTGCTGATTTTTCCTTATGCTGACACTTCTGATGCCCTGAAAGTTGCTGTGTTCACATCCTCTGCTTCTGGTGTCAAAGAACACTCTCAGACTTCACATGCCAAGATGAGGAAAACCTATTGCAATGCCCAAAAGACTTAACTCCTGTCAAATATATTCATTTAACACAAGCACTCTGGTCTATGACTCTGAAATCTTAAAGTGATGGCATGAAGCAGGAAGGAAGGGAAAAAACCCCCAGCAGCTTTTAAAAGAAAATCTTCAGTTAATGGGTAGAGCCACTCCAGTTCATTGCAAAACAAAAAGACAAAAAGTATTGGCCACAAAGACAGAACTAGATTTTCAGATTAGTGCTGTACACAGAGGATTGTACACAATCCTACTGAAAAATAGAACTCAGAAATAACTGCCTCACATGAAAAACAGCCTACTTGATCATACACTTGAAGGGACATACTGTCTTTCTTGTGTCCAGACTTCTCCTTGAAGACTACTTTGATCACTTGGGTCAGTTTTTGACACTGATGTAGATTTATTATTGTTAAATATTGTATTTAAAAAAAAAATTAAAATTGTTCAGCTATTTGGGTGCAGTATTTTTTTTTCTATTCTTGCCAAGGCAATAGAAGCCTAGTGCACAGTGAAATTCCTTCATCATGTGCTACAGATTCCCTAGGCTAAGCAACAATCCCTCTCTTCTTCTTTGTCCTCTCCATTTCCTTAAGTTTACACATATGGGAATAAAACACTTTCAGAACAGGGCCAACAGCAAGCCTGTCATATCAAAGCTCCTGGCTCTGTGAGGTTTTGAGAATGTGTTCCCACACATGTAAAGATTCCCACTGGTGTTGGCATCCCCTCACGTGTCCTCAGAACAGAACAGAGTACCTTGACTTGGAAGGGACCTGTAAGGATCAGAGAATCCAACCCCTGCTCCTCACAGGACTACCCAAAACTGACTCAGAAGACCATGCAGGCCATTTTTTTTGTTTGCCACATCCACCACCTGGGTTGGTTTTCATGGCCATAAGGTCCCTTCTTCTTTCATCATACTGCCACCCAAATTTACTTCATTTTGCAGTATACACAAACAAAGAAATAGAAATTTAATAATCTCAAAAAAGATTCAAAGAAGTGATGAGGCTACATGAAAAAAACCTACCAACATCTGCAAGGCAGATGAAATAATCTGTCTGTGCAGCCCAGGAAGTGTCATAGGAAGGTTTGCACGTTCCTCTGAGCCCTCATGTTGGAAAGACATGGATCAGCTGGAGTCACATGTAAATCACCAGGCCTGTGAGGAAAGCCCAAAGGAACTGCACCTGTTTAACCTTAAAGCAAAGAAAATGGAAGGAGGCATTTGAACAATGACTACAGTGTAGAAGATAATTATATATTTGCTTAATCCGTTCTGGGTACAAAAAAAAAAAAAAAAAAAAGAATAGACTTAAGCTTCTGATTTTAATAAAGCTCTGGACTAGGTTTCCCTGTGCAGCAGTGAAATTTCACCCACTGAGGGTCTTCCAGAGCAGGCAGGACAGACTTGAATGATACAGGTGTACACTGATCATGCAGCGGGATCATCAAATTTGTGATTACACACACAAATGCAAAAATACACTTTCACCCTTCTTATTTTTTAGTCATTTATTCTTGAGAAGAAACACAGAAAAGTTTTCAATGGTCAGGAGGGACTGCAGGAGCTTTTTGTCTCTCTCACATTCTTTCCTCTTTTGCCTTTTCACTCATTTTCTTAAATTTTATTTTCATAACTTATTCCAGAAAAGGAACCATTTCTTTTCCTTTGCAAAGCACCTAAAGGTTCAGGTAAAGTAAAAGCTGGGTCTGAATGACCCTTACTTTCCCATGACAACACTTAATGGATAGGATTTTTGTAAAATACCTACATTTTCAGACATTTGCCCATACAAGCATATACTGAAGATTCTGATTTTTTTTCCATCCACTTCATTCTCATAACTGTGAAGTGAAGTAGCTGTTAGCAAAGGAAACTTTCTGGGGATTGCCATTCCCACAAGGATACACTCACAGCTTTTGTGTTTTCTTGGAGACAGCACTTTTATACAGCCAGAGATGTAATTTTATAAACAATGGAAGCAGTTCTACTGAAAAAAAAGATTTTTGAAAACAAAACACATACTTTTTACTAATCCTGGTAACAATGATAGACTTGCACAAGCTTTTGAAACAAGAACATAAGAAAATAAAATGAGATGCATAAGAGGAAAAGAAGAGAAAATTAATAGATATTAAAAATGTATTATCGGAAGCAGGTAATTTTGTGACCTCTCCAAGACTAAAGATTTGAGATTTGATTCAATCACAAGTGATCTGTAGAGCTGCTGTTAAATTTCCTATTCTTGCTCACATCAAAAACTAAGATTTGCTTTAATAGGGGTTGAACATACACAGAGAAAAAACAATAATTCTGAAGGGTTATTCTGCTGGCTTTAGCCCTTCCTGCATTTCACCTGGGAAACACTAACAAGAGCTGCATTTCTTCGATATCTAACCTCTGCAGACAAAAATTGCTCATTTAATTTTAAATGTAGGTTATGACCATGATCTTGGTTTAGTAAGGGACTGATGCTTTAAAACATTCTTTTCTTAAAGAATGGCACGGTGTGGGAAATCACAGTATTGTATCTCAGTATGTTTGGCTTTCCTCAGTCTTTCTAATGAACACACCAAAGGGAGTCAGTACAGCAGAGGGAATGCAACATTTCCTGACATCACCTATTTATCTAGCACAAAACTGGAAAGATTTTGAAGGCAATGAAAACAATTCAGAGAGAGCAAGGTCTGGCCACTAGTTCTGCCCTGGCTATATGTGTTCATTCCTTAATTCACCAAGAATTTCAGTCTCCTCATCCTGTTTCTGTGCTCAGTGTTGGATTTGAGCTGCTCTTTACTATGTTGGGGTTTTGTTCCTCTACTTGTTGTATTTTTTTTCTGAACACTGAAGCATTTTTTAAAATACTAAAAAGAGCATACAAACATGCAACTAAACCAAAAGAATCAAGCATGGCACAGTAGGAGAAGAAAGCTTCTGGGGAGAGAAAGCAAAACTGTGACAGATGGAAAAGTCTCAATGGATGAATGGTACTACTACAAATAAGTAGCAGGCAGCCAGAGGGAATCAAATAATGATTATAGAAGAAAAATGAGGGTTAAAAAATGGGGTAAAAAACCTTCATCACTGGCAGAAAATTCAAGAGTAGTAATGTATAATATTTGTATGAGGGAGGTTTAATCATATGCTTTCCACAAACAGGGGAAGCAGTAAAGACAAAGAAGGCAGACAGCTGACAAGCATGCCAGTGTGGACAGTAAAAAGCTCAACATGTCCTTGGAGAGGAAGGAATGTACTCCAGGATTCAGTCTGGCATGCCCCCAAACCTGAACAGATTACTTTCTGACGATCAATACCTGTAACCACCAGAGGCCTGTTGGAGTGTTTAAAAAAAAACAGAAAAAATCAGCTTCAAAGAGACCTGGTCCCGAGCTCACATTTTCTTTTTGCCACTGGGTGCTGAGGTAAGAGCTTTGGACAAGGCTCATTTTTCATCTCTTTATAGGTCTGCGGATGGAATATGAAGTGTCGCAGCATGCTCCCAGGGCTTCGCTGCGCCGGCTTCCTGTCCCAGGGACGAGCACTCCCAGGATGACACTCGTCCCCTTTGACCAAAGCTGGCATCAGATCTTTCACAACAGCCTGGTTAATGTCTTCTTTCACATCCATGACTCCTATCCACCTAGAAAGGAAAAAAAAATGAAATCCTTATTGTTTTCTTAATTTAAGTCCCGTTTCCTTTGGAGAGAGATAGAAAAACCAAGAAAGTTCCTAATTTTGTTTGAAATGTCACTGATCAACAGATCCAAATACAGCTTAGCTATTTTAGAGAAGTACAGTAGTCTCTTTTTCAAATACTATACTATACCTGAATAGAAATTAATTCTCAGATTTTTCCCAATAATAGAATTTAATCACAAGCACATGCAGAAAAAAATGCATTTAGACATTACTATGAGTAGGAAGCAAAAATTCATACATGTTTCTGGAGTCACAGAGTACTCCATATAGTTTGATGTCTCCAATTACAATTCCATCTTTTCCTCTCTCACATTAAGCTTAATTTTCTTTTGTCTTTTCCCCATTCATTTTTCAAATACTGCAAGGCAGTGCCTATTTTCCAGAAAGAACTGATGCAATTTATTTTTTTGTCCATCTACCTTCACTGCTGTAAATGACTGATCTGAATAAGGGAAAAGAGAACAACAGCAAATCTAAGCAGCTTTTTAAGGAAACAGCAAAGAAAAGGAAAAAAGGAAAAAAGAAAGAAAGAAAGGACTGTATTATTAATAGCAAAGTCCAGGATGATGGATGAAAAGAACAACAATATCCTTTAATCATAAAGCACTAACATTCCAGCAGTGCTGGTAAGTGACTGGAGCAGTGAAACCATTTGAGACTTAAACAGATGGATTAGGAAAGGTTCCACTGTGGGTTCCTGGACAGATTTCAAAACAGCAGCCTGGTTAACTAATGCACAAAAAAGCAAGTGATTCTTCCAATCAATAAGCTTTTATGTAAGCATATTTGAGATATAATATTTAAACACAGCAGACAAGTGGGGAATCAGGAATTCCTCATGCTGGGCTAGCAAAGCAATAAGTTTTACTTGAATCTGGAGATCTCTTTTTTCCCAGCAAATCGCAAAGGGATTTTATAGCTAATGTTGTCGCCACATGTTCATCAATATATTAACAGCTCCTGATGGTTTTGCGAAAATGATGGTGAGTACCAAGTCCAAAAAGAAGCTATTTTTTACAAATACATTTTAAAATACTCCTTTAGGGACAACTTAACCAGATTTTCATTGAATGAAGGAAACTACACTAAAATTAATTATTTACTACCTTTCCTAGTGAGCACCTTTTCCACAAAGAATTAGAGGGGGAGTACAATCAAAACCCCAGGTCATAGGAGCTGATTGCCTTCAGCATGATAACATGTATTCTAGGTAAGAAATGGAGATGGAAAATGGCAATGGTTTTATAAGGATATTTTTACATCTCTATTTCAAAATATCTTTTAAAGGAGGCTATAATTTTTAAGGAATTACTGGCAATGACTACTATGTCTCTTTCTCTTAAGTACCCAGTTGCAGATAGAAGTATGATATTTCATAAAGGTTTCATAAAAATGACATACCATAGACATTTATATAGATTATTATTATTATTATTATTATTATTATTATTATTATTATTATTATTATTTTGTCTAATAACTTGCAGTGTTCCAAATATAGAAACAAGCACCACAAGGGGAAATTTCAGGTACAAAGGAAAATTTCAGGGTCTTGTACGATACTTGGAGTTCTAGGCCATGGTCTCTAGTGCTCTGTTTATACCATAATGAAGAGAGCTGCAAATTTATACAGTTTACCAATATAGGCTTCCCCTTCTCAGCTGAAATCTGGCTGCAACATATTTGATCTAAAATCTTACACGTATTCAGACAGGAATTTTGCGTATTTTGCATGATATCATATTCTTTAGGAAACATTTCGATAGTGTTTCCTAAAGACTAACCTTTTAGCATTTTGAGTTTTCACATTTTGGGGTATCTAGTCAGTTTTCAGAAGTCTTTTTGAGACTTTTCATGGCTATCACCAAATTACATCCCCCGGTAAAAGTCAGAACCAAGAGAACACTGTGGAAGTATACACTGATTATATGTCCCAATGGAGTTTCAAAAAACCCCCTCCCACTAATATTTGACCAAGTAAGAAAGAACTTTTCAGTTTTTCAAGACACTTCAGAATCAAATGTCTTGTTTAATTATAAATACATCCTGCATTTTACCAGCACACAAAGTAGTCATTACATACGTAATATTTGTCACTGGATTCTTGCCTGCTAGAAACCAGGTTGTAATCGCACTTTTTGATGTCCCAAGGACTTTGCTGTGGCCTGAAGTATCAGACTGATGTGGAGCTAGGACTTTGCTTCTTTCCATCAAGGAATTTGGACTCCATGACCTATGGGGTTGCTACTTTGGCTTTCCTGGCTCCCCTTTAAATTGCCAGCCAGGACCTCTGCTGAGTACATGTGTAGGTCTCAATAGATGTATGTATTTGCCTCAAGGTTTACAATGTAAATGTTCTTCATAAATTGAAAAAGGATACTGGGGGGGAAAGTGCCCACAGCCCCAAAGCAATAGGTTTATTTATCTGCCCTATAAGAATAGCATCTTTCAGTCCCCAGGGTATGACCCTCACAGGATTAAATGTCATTCATTGTCAGAGTAACTAAACAGCTGGCAGAAACTTGTAGTAAACCTGTAGTATTCAGTAAAATCCTCTGAAGACAGCGGAAAGAGTTCCTTCCAATTTTCTGAATGGGGTCTTCCCCTTTCTGAGACTAAAACCATCTTTTCCTTCTCAGTCTACATACCAGTTGTAAGTAAAAAGTATTTTTTCTTTTCCTCTTTACTAGTATGAATTTCAGAGTGAAGGTGGAAGAGGAGGAAGAGCATTATAAGAAGTCCTGCTCTTGCCTTTCCTCTGGGCCAGTGTGTCTCTAACTCAATCCCCATCAGTACATGCTGCATTTAGCGTTTGGAGCAATGGCAGCATAAATTCTCTCTCCTTTTTCTAGTTATTCCAATTCTGTGACATTTTGTGATGATCTGAGGGCATGTTTACAATCAGTAAAAATATACTGATGTCATGAATAGACTAGAACCCAGATGCTATGATTCAACTTCAGCTGCCAATTACTGCTATTTTGAATACAAACAAATCTGAAAGTAAAAACATCAAATTAAGGGTATTAAATATGTTAAGCAGATTTTGAAGTTTTACCCTATTTCTACTTTAAAGGGAATTACAAATTCCAGAAAAGGAATAGAGTTCTTGCCTACAATTAAAACAGTAAATGGTATTATATTCTGTGTAGCTCTTAGGAGTTCGATCCCCCACCGTTATCTGTGGGATGCTTCACACTGTCACAGTAGGGCAGTTCAACATTTCAACCTCTTACTGTAAAAATTAACCTGTTTTTTCTAATACATTTTGAACTCTGTTCACAGAAGCCCACATTGCATGAAATTCACAGGCCCCCACAGAGATAAAATAATTCTCGTTTTTGGTGCACAGCTGAGGAATGCTAAAAATAGTTGAACATACCAGGAAAAAAAAAAATCCTTTGGGGACTGCAGTATCTTTGCTTCTCTGGAAAGAAAACAAATAGATAAGCATATATGTGTACAATTACATCCAATTTCTGTATACTACACAAAGTAGTTAGTCTAAATTCTGGAGATTCCTGAATCTCCCACCTATCTAATTATTATACTTCTCTATTCCAAATGTAGAAGAACACTGCATTAATCTCAATTGCTGAATAACTAATAGCTGCTGTTGCTTCCATTTAGTGGAAGAACATCTTAAATATTAATACATGTAAGAAACATATAATTTTGTTGAATATATAGATATATGTGCACATATCTAAATGAAGATGCACTTTCATGCACACATGTGTGTGTAAAAAATCCTCAATATACTTTGTTGTCTGACTTCAGATTTATTTGGGTAGAGTCTTGCATCACTGGCATAATGCTTACATGGAGAGGTTGGATTGACTTGAACCTGAGTCACTAGGAGGACAAAGGTTTTTCATTAAAACCTTGCTGATTAGCCCTAAAAATGGCACTGGTGACCTTGGAGAGAGCACTAGTTTTCTTCACTAGAAGCATGGAAGATTTGAAAGTGTTAAAGTCCTGATGTGCATATATACACTGATCTCAACACTTTGATCTGCTCTACTTTCTTCTGAGTTATTTTTTTGAATATTTTTAAGGAAGATGTATCAGCAGTAAGACCAGTTATAATACATTTCATCTTTAAATATTCCTATATACTACAATATATGTAAAAAGGCATTGAATCACACTTTTATAAACAGCACAAAAAACTTATCAGGAGTTGAATAAAAGATACGTATGTTCATTACTGGCTGTGGCAAATTTCTTTTCGGATGCTATGTGTTTTAACAGCCCTTTATTCCTGTCTATATGTCTCTCAAAGTGAAAACAGTTTTATTAGATGTTGTGGCAGCCTTCAGATTTTATTCACACAAACAAACAAGATATTACTTGGTGCCAAAACATTTGTATGGGTACTGAACAATCATCATTAAAGCAGTCAACATTAAGCATTCAGAAATGGTTAACACTCCAAAGCATTTAGGTAGATATAGGTTTCAAAAATAAAAGAGGTTTTAAAACTGGTTTTCATCTATCTACAGATTTTTTTTCCTTTTTAATGAAAGTATTCTGCTTTTACATAAGATACCATGAACTCATCCTTAAAAAAAGGGGATATGTAAAAGTGGAAATGTTAAAGTGTCCTTTAACCATTGATATTAAATATTAACCCAAATTAAGAATAAAAATAAATGAAAACCCCTGATGGATATTACATCTATAAGTAGCACACTTTTTAACATTCACTATACATGAGAGTAATCATGTTTTTATTCATGCAAATATTCTTGTAGGAAGCACCTGTAGTGAACATGGTGTTGTAATGAGATATGTAGGTCATATCATAGAGAATGACTGTAAAATTTAGCCACTTGATGCACTTGCAGGTGTGAAACATCTCAAAGGCTCTGTTCTGATTAAATGAATTTCAAATTCTGTGACAAGAATTAACATGCCCTGTGCAGGACTGGGTGCTGA